GATAGATAGATAGATAGATAGATAGATAGATAGATAGATAGATAGATTTGTCTTGAGATATGTTTTTTTTTGTTCTGTGCCCAAAGAAACCTCTCTATTCTCAAGTAGTCCATTATACCACAAAAGAAGAGTTCCTATATTAGTTGCATGCAGTAGTATTTTTACCTGGGTGGGATGCTATAATTTGACTTTTACAATATTATCCCTTTTACCAATCTTGACATTAAAAGCAAAAGGCTTATGCCAAGTACCATTTTTTTTAGTAATTACAATACTCAGCCTACATTGAGTTTTGTTTCAACAAATGGAACACTTGAGCATTCAGAGTTTTGTTGTCAGAATTCAACAAAACTGGAAAGTTCTAACAAAAAATTCGAGGTGGAGCCAGCGTATTTATTATTTCAGTAACTTCTACAATACATTTATTGCCTAAAATGTTAATTTTATATTCATTACTAAGTTTTTATTGTTAATCTTTTCTTTTCATGTTTAGGTGAGTTGGATGTTCTTCCTGGACAAAGAGAACGAGCTACAGCAATTCTATTAGCCTGCCGCTACCTCCCCCTGTCTTTCCTGTCATCTCCGGGCCAGCGGGCTGTCCTGCTGGCAGAAGCAGCTCGTACACTGGAGAAGATTGGCGACATGCGTTCCTGCAATGACTGTCAGCAGATGATTGTGAAACTAAGTGGTGGCACAGCTATTGCTGCCTCCTAACCCTAGAAGAATATTGAGACATTGAATGAATACTTGTTACATTCTCTTCCTTTTTCTTAAAAACCGTTCCAGATTTGTGGAAGTTTCATTATACTAATAGGAGACAGTGACTTGGTGTATAGCAAGTGGCAAATTATTTGCCTCTAAGCAAAAAGATTGTTCATGCTGGTGCTAGAAAGTTATTTTTCCCCCTGGCAGAGACTGATATCTTGGACTGGTTAATTTGGATATCTTTGAAAGAGGGATTTGCTTTTCTCTCATTCTTTTTACAAAACAATCTCTATTGAAAACATCTTTGGGGTAATGAATTAGTAAAAAGTAAAAAATTTGGTATGAAGTCTCATTTGATGGCATTTGCAATGATTCATCTTGGCCCAGTAAATAGATAGATTCAAAGAAGATAGAATTGTGTTTAACTTCTTTTCTCCTCAGTATACGTTTGTCCTACTTACTGATACCTTCCAATAAAATAGAAGCTTTAGGAGGTCAGGACAGTTCTCTAGAGAAGTGCATTATGGTTTTTATGCTATTTGGGTTACTGTTATTTATATTTTATCATTTTACAAACTAAAAAATCCAGTTTCTTTTTGTCTCATACTCTTCATTCTGTATCTTTCTTCTTTCTGTAGTCCTTTGTAAACTGATGATGATCAGAATGATAGAAACTATAGTTTCAATCAATCTATCAATTTTTATTCAGCCATAGACCAGCAGATAAAACAAGAAATATTGCAATTAATTAGGATAAAAGGGGGGGGGGGAAATCCAAGGAGGATTAGAAAAACAAACTTAGTGTACTGTGCAAACTATAGAATAGTACTTAGCTATAAAGAAGTAAAATCAGATTAATATGATAATTAAAAAATAAGTTAAAACAAATCAGAACAACCCAGAAGTTTAATAAAGAATAGACATAATAATTCCTAGTGAGCATTTCTTAGAGGAGACAATATAAAATAACTTGTTCCATTTTTCAATTGTTTCTTCATGGCATGGACACAATCTATGTTTGAAGATAATTTTTTAGTGTCTCCCTTCAGTAACAACTATTGGGAGGACATTGAATCTGGCCAAGGATAAAGCCCTTCTAAATTTTGGAATTGTTATGTGACTAAGGTATATCACTTGGTTGAAGAAGATACAAGAAACTATAACATCTAAATCAGCAGGTTGTAGAAGACTGATCTGTAGCATAATTGTAAGGCCAGGAATTGAATCTTCCTTTTATATATTCTTCCTGATAGGGAAAAAGGGAAGAATAAATACAACTAAAAGCATTAATTTAAAAAAATAGTTAGATGACAGGATGTAGTCTTCCTGATCTCAATTAGGACTGAAGGTAAAGGGTAGAACATTAACATCTTTTCCAGCATTGTTTTGCTGAAGGAAATCCCACCTTCAATCACTTTGGAAAGAGATTTTCAGCAAGATGAAACGTGGACAAGGATGAAATGTTCCTCCCCAAGACCTTGATTTGGATGCCTGTTTGTTATAAACAAAGAGGTAGCTAGCCTAGCTACACTTTTTAAATCATGTGGATAATCATCTAGCTTGACTCTCAAAAAATACAACTCCCCCCCCCAAAAAAAAAAAAAATAGTTCCATGTTCACCGTTTGGTAATAAAGAAACTGTTCTTTTCCCACAATTTTTGGGAGTAACATATATTTATAGTATGGATGAAGTATTTTAGTGTTAAAGGAAACAATCTATAGCTCAATCTCCTCTGGCAGAATTACACAAATTTTATATTATATGGAACTCTTAAGGTCCACAAGCCATGTTTTTCTCCTACTTATTTCCTTTACTTATTCTCTTTTTTTTGTTAAGTCTTTCATTGCATTAATCTAAATTTCATGGCAGAAGAGCAATTTGGAAATTCACCCAACTTTAATTATATTATTCCTTGAAATAATGCAATTGGTAATCCTTGGCTGCATCATAGATAGGATTCTCAATAATGAAAGGTCTTTTAAACTTTATATTCCAATGCCCCCAAATGTGAAGCTGTAGTGGTAAAGACATTTTAAATATTGCTATTTCATAGTTGGAGTCGAAATACATCGCAATTAGAGATGCAAATCATGATGATGATAGAGTTTTAATGCTCCATAGTTAACCAGAAACAGATTCCACAGTAAGGCCTTGACTTAAATCTTGAAGGTCTGTTCTCAGTCAACCTGCATTTATTGAAATGTAAAATTTTAATTTAATGCAATTTTCCTGATTCTCCCTTATATATGTGAGTGGATGTGTTTGGTTTGTATATCCTGCCCCATTCTGGTACATGGTGAAATTTAATATTTGACCATGCTATTTGAAAAAAGTTTTGTTTCGCTGGTTTCCTTGATGGAAGTGTATTTAAGTTTGTATTTCTTACAACTGATATGCATACTGTAATTCTCTTGTAAACCTAGGTAGACAGAATAAGTGTCCCAATGTGCTGCTGACACAGAGGCACCTTTAAATTGGAAGGCTGTGTAAAGTACTGTTCCATTCACTAAGACAGAATCTTAATGATGGCATTCCCAGTGCAGGTAGCAGCTAAGTAGGAAAAATAATAAACTTATTGGGACTGAGGAGATTAGAGGTCATTGCTAATTTAGGCCCCCAACTGCTGTTATATACATGCAAATTTTGCTTTATTATAAAATAAAATAATCAGCCCAGGAGTAACAAAAAGAGTGTGAATTCTTAAGAGTCTAACAGATTGATTCGGTAGGCTTGAACTTGCAAATGCTTCCACCTGGGCACTCTCAGGGCAAATAATTCAATATAATTAATTTGTTAAAAAATGTAAAAAAATACCCATCTCTTTCTGAGCATTTCATGGTTTCTTGAATTTGAAACATTGAAAGTAGTTTATTTTTGTTAAAAGAGCAAATGGCCATTATAATATAAAAAAATCATATTAATCAGTCAGTTGGATGGAGATGGGTGGCTATAAAAATTGAATAATTAAATAAATATTGCACAGCCATAAGAATGAGGTTACTGTCTTCTTTAAATTACAATTGCATAGATGTGATCTCTACAAAGAAATTTACCTTCTTGCATATTTTTGGCAGTTTTATACACTTCATGTATTTATGGAACTGTTCCTCCTAATCTTGCCCTATATATGTTTTGTGTATATAATGGTAACTTTTCTGTTTTTATATGATATGAAAAGTGTCTTTTTATCCCAATAAAATTAGAAATAGAGATGCTTTGATACATGAAGATGTAGCAGGTGGTGATGTCACGAGATGAGGGTTTCTGTTATTCCCAGTTGTGACCTTTTGGTATGGATCATTATGTAATTTATCTAATAAAGACAAAATTTAACTCAGGGTCTGATATTGTTAACAAACTGTCTTTAAAATGAGTTATATAGAAAACAACATGTCTAAAACTGTTTCCCACAAAAAATGTGATATTTGTTTTAGAATAGTTATATAATGCAAGTAGTACTCTCTTCCTCTTCTGTAATGTATCACTGCTTAGGATTACTGTTTGATGAAATGTTTCTCAAACTTAGCAACTTAAAAGGTTTGTGGACTTCAGGGTGGTGGCTGGAAAATTCTGGGAAGTTGAAGTCCAAAATACTAAACTCGCTGAAGTTGAGAAACACAGGTATAAAATGGTCCTTTACTGTAGCCAACTTGTTGGAATAAGAAAAAAAATTGACTTTACCTTTATATATGACAATTCTTAAGGATGATGTGCTAAGAAAACTTCCAACATCCCCCCACTTCCACATTGCTTACCGCCTATAAATAGGACCACATACTACTGGTATGAAGTCTCTGGGTTTTAAATGAAATAATTTGAAATGTGAGAGAGAACTTTTTTTGCCTACTAAACTTCAAATTTATTTTTACCGATTCATCTTGGTTATTGGAATTTTATGTCAAGACTAATTTTCCAACCTATTTAGGCAAGGATAGGGGAGCTGAGGACCTTCCCTGTGTTTTAGTTATAGTTTGGAAATGGTGTAAATGACTTGTTTTATTCAAAAACATCAAGAGGAAATTACAAAGATGAGCCAACCTTAATACTGACTTCCTTGTTCTCTGTGTGTATATACATATACATATACATCATATACATATACATATACATATACATACATACATACATACATATATATATATATACATTTCTGCCCTCTGCTGGTCAAATAGAAGTAAAATACAGAAAAAAA